TAATAGAAACCTATTTGCTGGAATGGGGTGTAATGGGGATTATTCTAGTCAGAAAGGGTATGATTGGCTCATGGGGGATTGCAGTATGTTTAGGGCATATCAAACAGTATGGAATAAGCTCTCTATTCCTAAACATCAATTCTTCCAATGGTTGTGTTGGAAAAACAGAGTACCTACGAAAGACAGATTGAACAAATATATGGAGATGGACACAACCTGTGTGTTGTGTGAAAGTGGGATTGAAGATCAGCAGCATTTATTCTATGTGTGCTTATACAAAATGTGTCCAGAGTATTGTTGGCAAGTGGTTGCAACACCAATCGAGGGCGAAAACTAATGAAGAAATGCTGGAGGAAGTCAAGATGATCAAGGGAAGGCTGCAAAGACAAACGGTAGAAGCTGGATTTGCAGCAGTATGCTATGCGATATGGCATGCTCGTAACTCCAAAATTAAGCAGAATAATATTATACCCCCTGACGAATGTAGTGTTTGGATTAGGGATCATGTTAGAGTTTATATTAATACTAAGTTAAAAAAGGTGTGGCTAAGCTAGGGATGCTTGTTTAGCCTTGCTGTGGTTGCTTGATTTGTACTCGTTTTAGTTGATGTGGTGAATAAAAATTGTGTGCATTTGTTCAAAAAAAAATGGTGTATCAATTATAGTACTGCGTACACACACTCCAGCTTAAAATACATCTCTCTCTGTACTTGGTATATCCCAGGAAATTATTCCTCCTTCAGAACAAACTTAACGATGAATGTCGTAAAACAGTTACAATTTGCTTTCATTTACTAAAAGTAAAAAATTGGTAAATCTTTTATTGGTTGAGCAGGTAAAATAGATTTGCTTTTATGACAACAATGTTACAACACAAAAATGCAGTTTTATCTTAAAGACTCGAAAGAAGCTACCTTTGATGTGCTGAAGTTCTTTGTTGTGGTAATTCAATCATCAATCTTGATGGAAGAAACCTCGGAAGTGACTTGCCGTGTTCTGGGGTCACCATGGGTCTCCAAGGAAACACCGTGAGGGTCTTCCCTGACAAGGAGAGGGAGCACATTGTGTGAACTCCACACTCTCATGAGATTGTTGCTTGATGATGATGATGAGCCTAAGGTAACAGCAAAGACCGCATCAAATCCACCGGCACCGGGCACACCAGCCAACACAACTCCCTCCATACTCATCGTTTCATCCAGAAGCTGAGTCTGTGTTTCTGGTTCTATCTGCACACCCATGCTTAGAGGGATTAAAAATTGAGCCTATAAATTTCTTCATTCCTCTGTATTTTTTTCACATTTTCTTTTGTGCCCCATAATGTATGATTCATATTTTTTCCACATGATAATTATTTCAAAAAATCTAAGCTTTTTTCGAGCAGTCTCAGTTTTTTTTAAACATGTTTTTGAAAAAAATAGAAAAAGACTTACATTTCAAAAAATGGTCATGGGGAGTACTACAGTTCTATCTAACCCATTTTCTTGTGTTTTTTCATCATGATATTGAAAAGGAGATTTAAAATACGGAGTACAAATTTTTTTCTTGAACAAAAAAACTCACTGGGATTCCTGCAGCCTCGCCCATTTTACGCATGTGATACCTGATACCAAGCATTGCATCTCGAGCTCCCATCAAATCCTTCACGACTTCTGCTTGATATGGCCCACTAACTGCCTCCCTCCACTGTTGATGGGGAACAAAAAGTTTTTACAAAGGTCAACTTAAACATCCACAAACTTGATTTAACATTCAAGGGCTTAGCAACCACATTCTTAGTATAGAATATGCTCTCAGAGAGAATGTGGATCGCTCAACGTCAATTACCCATATTGCTTAAAACTGTGTTTCAAAAGAATTAAACTTGGTGTAGACCTGCCTTCAAAAAAAAAAAAACTTGGTGTAGACCAAGGTGAACACTAAAAGAGGAATTCAGAGACAAGATTTGTCTCTGAACTCCTTCTTTGGTGTACACCTGTATTGGTCCTTTTTAGAGAAAGGGAAAAAGATGCAATGAAAAACAGTTTTAAATGTTTAGTCATATCTTTAAAAATATAAAGGAAAATTCAATTAGATGACAACTTTTAAAATTTTGCAGATATACTTTTATTTATAGCCTTTATATAATAGAAACATATCTCCATTGCATTTGAACAAAAATATCTAAAATGGATTTTTAATCAATAATTGCACCTAATTTTTCTTACCCTAACATCTTCCGGGTCCCAAACAGCCTAAGAGAAGCCACTAGGATTTACCTTTCCGGCTGGAAGCGTGCTGCAGTTGTTGATAATAGACTCGTATGAAGTACAATTACTCTCTGCCAACTTGCATAAGGCATTCAGATGCATTTCAAGGGTAGAGTTTCCATTCAGTAACTTCATCCATGTTTCATGTGAATTTTGAGGGTCTGACTTCTGCCATTTCTTTACAGCACCTACCATTGATGGTGTGGAAGATCCTCCCGTTCCTGGCTCTCCTAGTAACTTCAAGAGTCCCATAACACTTATAAATTTATAAAGCAGGTATATACGCATTCTTAAAATATAACAAAAAAAACTAATTACTCTGCAGAAGTAAAGGTCTGCAGCAGTTAAAAAAATACTATGTAATTTAACTGCTATTTCAAGGTTAACTAATGGTTAATTGGCTATCCAAGAAACGGCTTTAATTATCTTGAAGGTCTCAGCTTGCACAGCAAAAAGCATAGGATGCTTGATTTTAGACCCCATGAGCCTGTTTGGAATAACTTATGGTACAAGTGTGCTATTATCATATGTACTTCCAAATTAAAACCTTCAAGTGATTTTCTGAAAAGAAATAAAATCAATGCTTTCTTAAATAAACATTAAAAGAGCTTCTTTTAAGTTTTAACTGTTAGCACTTAACAGCAATTTCCCGGAGTATATAGTATATGCACAATTGATATCATAGCATTTGTAGCATATACGTAAATATACAAAAAGAAACATGGAATATGTCTTACAAGAGTCATCAAAGGAGGCAATGAGAATTTAGTCCTCTCATGGTCCCACTTTGCTTTTAGGACCTCACTGATGACTTCTGTAAGTGGAGTTGCCATGCCTGCGTTCTGAAATTTCAAACAAGAACAAAAAGGGGGAAATGGACAAATCAAATAATTATCCATGACATTAAAAATTGGTCGAGAGAAAATAGTTGCTGTGAATATTATTCTGCTGTTTAGTAAAACTAATAATAAAATAAGAATAATGATTTCGGATGTATTTGTTGCATACAAAGTTTGATTATGGTTCAAACTAGAATCATAGTTATCAGTTATCACGGTGCCAAGGTGTGGCACAGTTATCACTAGGACGCCTTTTTGTCACCTTGTCAACTAAGTGAACCGATAGGACGCCTTTTTGTCACCTAGGTGACGCCTTGATGACTATGATTATAATTACAGTTGGATTACATTATGAGTACAATGGCAAGGATTTTGAGTGTAACAAGATTACATCTTACATTACAGTATAACACCATTTGTACACTTGAGTAATGACAAATTATGCGGGGTAACTTTTGAACCAAGCAATAGTATTTTGATAACCAATTAGGGGTGTAATCCAGCATTACACTGAGCCAAACACGACTTAAAAATAAATAGAGGTAATTTGGCAAGTCCAGAGCCTCTTTTCCTTCCCAAATGGAACATTAACATTAAAAAAAACGATAAGATTTCCTTAGAATACGTCAAAAATTTATGAAATTCCTCCAAAGTGGTGACTAGGCAGAAATAATAAATAGAAATGTTCTTTTTCCTGCCAAACAATCGTGCTAATATTCATACCTGAGCAGGATAAAGCACTTCGGGTGAAAACCGTACATAGCGTTGGCTTCCATACACTGCAGAACTCACATCAAATCCACTACCAACTTTACCCTGTGCAATACAATGTGCTGTTTGGGCAATCACGTGTACAATGTCAAGAGCATCAACATCTCTCTTTTCTTGAAGTTGTTCATGGGTAAAGGAGGAAAGATTAACAACACCGAGATAATGAAGCAAAGCAGCTACAACTGCAGTTGTCATAGCTGCTGATGATCCCAATCCAGTCTTAGCGACTTCAGGTTTTCGACTTTCTCCGCCTGCTTCTTCTGCATTAAAGGTAATTGAGGCAAAAGGAGGGAGAGAAGCCAATGATTCAGGTGTGAGAGGAAGTCCATGTGCTTCAATCTACAATGTATAAGAGATTGAATGTTAGTGTTAGCAACATATAATAGATGAAAACAAATTTACAAACTCTACAACAACAACAACCCACTTGGATCCCACGATATTAGGGTCTGGGAAATTTACAAACTCTGTAGACTATAATTTAATTTAATTGTGTCCATTATAGTGTACACTGCAGGGCCACTGGACCTGCTGCGGTATTCGAACTTTCGAAATCCAGCTCAATACTCATAAAAACATGTTAGAACATTTATTTGTTTGTGTACATTATTATGCAAACAAAACGTTTGTATATGTTTCAATAGGTTGTTGGTGGGAATACCTGGTTCCGATATGAATAAAATTCATTGCACCCCAAGATTGTAATGTCTAGACCTGCATGACTAATCCACTTATAATGTTAATTGCCTTTTCACTTTCTTTGAAAAAAATCATTTAAACAAAAATTAACACTGTATTTAAGGATAACTCTAATTTGTAGACAGTCAAATGAATAATCAAAGTACAATATATTACCTTGCAAAAGTAGTTTATGTAATGCATCCTTCTTATGCTTGTCAAAGGTTGCATATGCTGCTGCTATGGCATACTCCACTGCATATTCCACAAAGGGGTTTCTTGAATCACTGTTATACAACCATCAACACAAAGTAATATCATTATATGAAAACTTACAAATACGTAGTAATAAAATTTCAGATTGCGTATGGATCTGACTATGCATACTTCCCCTTCAAGCAAAAAAAATCCCCTTCACGCAACAAAATAAAAGAACTGGGAGGCAGTTGTAAACTTGCCTATTAGATAAAGGCTGAAGTTTGAAGGATTTAAGTGACAATTTGTAGAGTGTTTCTCTTGACATCTGAGGAGAAGTCAACTTCACATCTGTCCATGCCTGCAGTCACAATGCAGCCTAGGTTACAGAATAAACTGTCAATCCATTCTTAACCAGTTAAAGTTGCAACAACCAACCAACTAAAATCCCACAAGTGGGGTCGGACCCACTCAAGCACAAGAGATATATGTTAGTACAATTCAACAGGGTAAACCAAAAAAAAGATAGATATATAAAAACCATACAAACACCTTACTAAATCTAACTATTCCTAAAGGCCCTAGACACTCAGAGAAACGACTACTATCAAGGGCTACGATATAACTTTATCTTCAACCTCCAAGCGCACCTACCTAAAGTTATGACCTGGCTGAGCTGTCAAAGTTGCAAGCTCTGTCTAATCACCTCACTCCAACTCTCATTCAGTTTTCCTCTACCTCCTCTTCAAATTCTCTACATCTAACCTCTAGCACCTCACTGACATCAGTACTCCACTACATGTGACCAAAACTATCTCAATTTAGCTCAGTGTATCTTATGCCAACTTTTGTTTACCACCAGATGAACTCATTAACTTGAAAGTCAACTAATTAGACCAACATGTCACTGATAAAACCACTATTGAGTGGATATTAAAAGACTGTAATGACTCACCCATGCCCAACTATCGGGCTTGATCTCCTCATAAAGAGGCTTCACAATGGCATAAAATCGAGCATTTGTACTCAGGACTATCCCTGCATTGGGCCTCTCAAGGATAAGATACCCTCCGGTCATCAAAACCTTTCCCGGGGCAGAAGCAACACTATCCAAGCATCAAAAAGAATCGAAAGAGGAACACACATCAGCTGTGCATTAATATTAACAATACTTTACCATAACTACACAAAAAAAGGAAGAAAAAATATCAAATCGCAATCTTACACAGCCATCTTGTCAATGATCACCTAAATGGTGACACCCAAAGTGCAATCTGTAAAGTGAGCTGCACCAGAAAACCAAAAAATCAATCGCTTACATATTGCTCACAAATAATCAATTACTCACAAATTTCAATATAAACCTGTAAACCCTTGTGATTTATTTGCAGAATCTTATATAATCTTATACTCTACTACGTATTATTATATTACTCCATATTATTATTATTACTATAATTATTATTAATCCTCGTATTATACAATGCAGTAGGGACAATGGTAGGTGGGGGCTTTTCAGTGAAGTATCTCCCCCTTTTTTTTGCAAATTGCTACCAGTATAACTTTTAGAGTGTGTTGTTTTCAATAAATTATAAATGCATAGTTGGAACTTGGAACTGGAAAGTGGGAGTTGTGCATACTGCAGAGTTCTGGGAGAGACTAAGGAGCTGTTTGGCAACTTCTGAATAGGTAAGTGCTGAACCAGTAAGAGGTCTGAACCATTAAGTGCTGAAAGGTCTGAACCATTAAGAGCTAGTATATTGCTTAACTATTCAGAGGCAAATGTCTGATCAATTCAGATAAGACGTCTTAACCATTCAGACTCTGTATAATACTTAACCATTCAGAAGCAAATCTCTTAACCATTCAGACATCTGAACCATTAAGAGGCTGAAACAAACAGTCTGAACCATTAAGTGTTGAACCATTCAGACATCTGAACCATTAAGAGGCTGAAACAAACAGCCCCTAAGTATAGCAATAAAAAGGGCTATTTTGTGGTTCCCATTAACCATAACTCAAACTTTTTGAAATTTATCATTTTATCCCCACCCAAAGAATTGAGACATTAAAACAGCTCATTCTCTTTATAAGCTGAACAAAAATTGTTCACTTTTTCACACTAGCAATCCAGTATCTCATAAAAAAGTTCTTTTGCTCGAGCAATAACGGAAACATCCTCTTGACCCCAGACCCCAACTTAATCTTGAATCATACAGGGTTTGTTGTTGTAGTTGTTGATTAAGCAATAAAAATAAATCTGACAAAAATTAAATAATTTTTTTTTATATAAATGAACAAATACAGATTTCATAATGTAACAGATAGTGTTAAAAATAAAAATACAAACATTTTAATATCATAAATGCTTTTAATATTTAAGAAACTGTCAAATACAGTAATACACATTGTATATATATACACACACACACACAGTCGAATCATTCAGTGGTAAATTAAAATATACTCAGTATATAATTGCAAAACTGATTTTTTTACAGAACAAACACTAACCTAAAGTCCTAAACGTGAAAATAAAATATGTGGACTGTTGTTTTTTCATAAACATCTTCGAAAAAACATATGGCATATCCAAGATTGCAGATTAATGATCCAGATTTGAAATTTTAACCATCTAAAAGTTCATAGATGATAAAAACATCTAATAATTGCGTTTCATTTCTGGGTGATTGAAACAGATAATTATTATTGATGAAGAAATACCTGAATGTCAATGGAAGAAAGGCGAATTGGCTACTGCCGTACGCGGAAGGAGAGAAGCTTGTGAAGTCAAAGTATGCTGCCCTTGTATGAGTTTATGGAAGAATGTGAGAAACTATTGTGAAGTTGGCTGTGGGAACTGTGTCCTCCGTCTCGACAAAAATTAAATTAAATTGGGATCCTCCTATTTGTTACATTTGACTTTTGAAATTGTTCATCTAAACACTTTAACTCACCAAATTCTCTTAATGTGTAAACCTAAATATAGTCATGTGTAATCTTGTTTAATTTTTCTTAACATATAGATTATTAATATATAATTTCTATAATTTTTTAATATACAAATTACAAGATAAAATGGATTAAAGAAGTGCATTGGATGGTGTGTAAATATTTTTCTAAATAATTGTAAATAATCTAAAACGTTTACTTTCAAAATTATAAAATTATATTTATAGTTTTTAATATTATATTGTCATCCTATAAAATTTAAAATATTTTTTCATATTTAATATATTTTTATTTCGAAGATGGACCAATTTGAGAAAATACCCAGCTTGAGAGTACCCTTTTGGAAAAATAATATAAGTTTTAACGTCGTTTTAACACTCGTTATTCGGAAGGACTAAGCTTAGCATTATTTCAATTAACGAGTATCATCTCAAAAATTAACCAATTTTGGGGACTAATTCAGAAAAATGCATAGTAATTAAGTACCATTTTGGAAATTTACTATATATATACGCATTACTATTACTGTATTACACATGTGCGTTGCACGATTCTTGAAATTGTATTAGTGCCATTATTGAAGATTTGAAATAGACTATATAATGAAGTATAATTGTATAAATATTAATCTCCATAATGTTTGACTGTGTTTAATAATAGACATAATCCTATAAATAGTAAAATGGCCAAACGCACGCCAAATTTCCATAATTTTAATAATAATAATTAGATTTCAATAAATTTAATATGCATTTATAATAGTTTCCATATATAATAATAACCATATCTATGCAAGAGAGTGTAGATTAATGCATACTCATCTACTTTGATTATCTAATCAGAAAAAGTTTGTGTGTCCCTATTTGTGCAAGAGAGTGTAGATTAATGCAATCTCATATCATTGGTCAACATATAAATTTTACAATACAACCACATTTGTGAGGAATTTGGTGGTAGCACCTACAATTTCCTCTTTTAAAACAATGAGTAAAACTGAAAAAATTTGGATAAAATCACCTTTGAGTACAACTATTTTCCATCTGAATGATTCACTTATGAAGTTATTATTAGAGAATCTCATTACATCTCTCACTGTGCAATCCAATGTCTCAAAAGAAAAATATATTCATCGTAGATGACAAATCCGGTGTGGTTATACTTACTTGTTGGGTTAGGTCTGCATTCGGGCTCTCTTGTTTCATGGCACATAATGAGCACTCGATTAGCACCAAAGGGATTAAAAATCTCGAGTCTCCTTCCCCTAGGAAAAAGCAATGCTACAATGTAGTTGGATGCGACATTCAGGACAACCTTACCATTTGACTTCAGAGAAGTAGACAATGATTTCTATAGAAATATTTTTCCGGTTCCACCGTAACCATATCATGCACAAAAAATAACGTCCTCTTTCAGCTATCACGACTTCTGTTATTTCATTAGATATATTTTACTGATCTTCATTCATCGTAGATAAATATCCTCTAAGATCAAATGACAACTTTTCTTTGTCATAGTTCATCTCCTCTACCAAGAAATTATTTTTATATCTATTAAGTATGTTGTCCTCTCCAAATGGCATGCCATTGAATTTCTTTAAAGATCGTCCATTCCAATTAAGCAAATTTTCAATCTCAATTAGACCTAAATTCTTTAGGTCTTCTTGGGAGATTATAAATTCCTTTATTGAACTTTTCTTTAGCAAATTTGTTTCCATGTAGTGCTCAATTAAAGAGTTTTGTTTTCATATAATGCATTTCAGATGGATTAATACGTTAAAAAACTATGTTTATATTCAAGTACATTGATTCTGCAATATTCTCATTCGATCAAGTAAAATTCCATCCACCAGGAGTTTTTATATTTTTTCAAAACAATTCATGGGTGGTACTTGGACGAACAACATTCTTAGCAGATTCTCAAATCCTAACTTAGCAAGCTCTTTTATACCTTCAATAAGTTATTTATCATCGGTTAATAACTACAATGCTTTACATGCTTCCTCGAATGCGTTATGTAGAATATTGTTAATTCCCCTCAAACTCTTATAACTTGTACATCTGCCCTGGACAATTAATAGTATTCTCAAGTAGTATAACTCTCTGGTTTCTGTAAGCACATATTGTAGCCTGCATTATCCTGCCTATTGATGGTCTTTGTTGCATTGGAACCACTCCCGCACTTTGTGGTTGTACACAAACAAATATGAAATTCTTCGCACATGTCACATTTTATCCCGCATTATATTGTGTATTGAAAATAATCAAAGCTTCAAACACTGAAGCTTTGTCACATTTTATCCCGCATTATATCTTTTCTAAATGTTTTTGTTGATCTCTAATTTATGTCGTATTTTCTTACATTATTTATAATATCTTATACATATAGTTTGTTAATACACAAAGATAATTGTTTTATCATCATCTTCAAAGAAATTAAAAAACATGTGTTATAAAAGATAGATCAATTCTCTCTTGTCTCTTATACACTTGAAAGCACGATGAATTGCGTAACTATTCCTGGATTGGAGCAACGTATAGATTTTTTTTTGGAAAAAAATATTGGAAAAATTAAATATTTAATTCAGAATAATAAAAATATCATTTGTCACATCACAGTGTACATTCTTTCTCGAACGTGTTTGATAATGCAAGGTTATAGCCGATAACGACCTCTCTCATTCTCTATCTGTAATAACCATCATAAAATAAATATTGCAAATATTTTTATCTAAAAACTTTAAACATAACAACACTCTATTATCCACAAGCATTTGCTACGTTGTTGTCGACGGCCAAATAAATAAATAAGCAAGAATATTACTAATTTATATTATTTTGACATAGATGTCAAAATAGGTATGTTTTTTTATTTTCAAGAATTTTAGTTAATAATAATTACACTTATAACAATTAATATTATATCAGAAATATTTCGATTAGGAACACCAATTAATAATTAATTTTTTACACATAAATACTCACATACCAAGTCTTCATCATTTTAAAAATTATTAATTGAAAATAGTAGCTTTGTGGCACACATCTATAATTTTTTACAAAATTAGTAATAAAAAATAATAATTTAAAAATGGAAAATACTAATTTTAAAATGGAACATACTTGTTATTTAACTTAATTTTTTAAATATATACGGAATAATATTATTACTCTATTAAATAAACATGCCCATAAAAATATCTTTTCTTTTATATATTTATTTCTCTTTTTGGAAGTTGGAAAATCTCTCCAATTAGTATTAATTTAATGGTAAAAACAAATATTCACATGTAATTTCTTTTAGTCCTACCAATCTATCCGTTCTTAGAATAAATTTATTTGCGTTGATTATTGTTTTTTGAATATGAATTCTTTTTTCAATTTCAAAATATATTATTTAATTTAAATATTTCCCAACAATGAATTAAGGTAGAAAAGATTTTAAACGCGATATTGCTAAGAAACTTGTGTGTAACAAATACGAAATTTAATTTTCATAGACTAAGTTTTTTTGTTAACTAATTCTCTATATAACTTGATGACATGACGTGCTGACATGCCAAAAAATTGTCCAATAAGCGCGTCACATGTCACAATTCTAGATGCCTAACACTCATTATATATATATATATATATATATATATATATATATATATATATATAGTTTTATTATTACCCGACTTTATATTCTCGTTCCCTAAACTTTTATTTATTTATATGATTATATGAATATATATTATTATATTTCATTTCATATTTATATCATTTTTTAAGTAAAACTAGTGAAAGAATTATTTGGGAGGAAATTCTCTATATATTGAATTGGCTTGTAAATTCTGGTTTTGAATACAAAGATCTAACCCTCTTTATATAGGAAGAGGGTAAAGTAAACAAGGAAATTTCTATTCCTACTAAAATAAGAATTAAACAAACTCGAAAAGATACTAAATACTAAACCTAATCCAACTAGGAAAACTAAACATAATCCCAAAGGGATTCGGCTTCCTTCTTCAATCCCGCTTCCTTCTTCTGTCTCTAACACTTTCCTTCTTCAATACCGCTTCCTTCTTCTATCTCTAACAACTAGTGTTTTGATCCGTGCCACGCACATGTTGGAACACAATTTTTATCGATTCAAAAAAATATTCTTCAACACATCATTTTCCTTGGATTAAAGAGAATATATTGAAAGGTAACCACGGTTGGGAGGGCAGCGGAAATACAAAAATTAATCTCCCAAAAGTGGTTACTAGCCCAAGAACACGTACTAAAACTATAGCTAGAGATAGAAACTTATACCCTCTCCGGTAAAGCGGTATGAACGAGAAGTCGAGCAAAAGGTGTTGAAGGAGCAAACGTAGCCGTTCAAGCGTCCGGCCTCCAACTGACACACGAACAATCTCCGGAGTCTACTATAATCTTTATGCTAGTAAAGATTATAATAGTATATTAAATATAAAGATTTAAGAGGATAATATTAATCTTGTATATTAAATCGTAGAAAATATACGAATAATATTTTAAAGAAAATATTATATCAATTTTCTACGCCAAAATAATAACTTTGGAACTCAAAATGTTTTTCTTCTTTCTCTCTCTACTTGGCCGAAAACCCCCTCTTCCAAAAGAGAAGAAAATGCCTTTTTATCAATTAAAAGGAATAAAGCATAAACCTTTTACATTTGCAAAATGCCAAAAGGACACTTATTATGATGTATAGTGGGAGACAAAGTCCCACACTCAAACCATAGTACGAAAAGTTTAGGGGAGAGGAATTTAATTCTTCTCCTCTCAAATGTTTAAAGTGTATTTTATTTGACATCAATAATTTTTATGATATAAAATAAAATACCAAAAATATTTTAAAACAAGTATATAAAATATACTTTAAAATAGTTTTTGTCAAAATAATAATTTTCATAATTAAAATGACACTCCAAAATAAAATGTACACAATATAATATATAATGTAGTATATATATACTTATGTGTGTACACGGTAAAAGCAATTACATATATATATATATATATATATATATATATATATATATATATATATATATTATAAACACATGTACGTACATATGTATACATATATATAATATGTGGGTGGCACGTACAATGTATACAAATATACATATATATATCGTGTACAATATATATACACATATATATTATACTAGCTTGAAACGCACATTGTGCGTGTGGTGCCCAAGCTATTGTTACAAAAGAGTTACATAACAATTTCTTTTCTCTAATATTTACACTAATGGTTAGGATTTCTTATACTAATCTCCCTTACATATGGTGTGGTTCTGTGCCTGTTCAAAATGACAAAAGTAGTAAAACAAAGCATCATTGGGTGCTTAAGTTGTCCCAATGATCCTTTCTTAGCGAAAGCTATGACGATTTGTCGGGAGGCGCTTAAGGAGAAGGGCATTCACAATGCTGAGGTGTGTTCTTATTGCTTGGGTGTTGTGCAAGCCCTTCAAGTGGAGTTGACTTCTTGTTTTGGTTCGATCATTGACGGGTCTCGCTCTTTGTGTCTGTGCTTGGTTCTATTTCTTTTCGTTTTGTGTGTCATTCTTCTATCTTGCTCACTTGTTAGCACAACCTGTTGATACAGTTATTGGTTGTTGGAGCTTGTGCCTCCAGATTCTGTTGCTACCCTTTTTAACATTAAACTAGTATCACACACGTGCGTTGCACGGGTCATTTTTATGTTATTAAATTCAGATCATTTTTCAATGATAAAAACTGAGATGCAATAGAATATAGAGATTATATTATTTGAAAGTACAAAACATCAATGTTTTACAAATTTCGAAAAACTTCTTTATAGACTACATTATTTGTAGTATTTGTGGGAGTGTTGTCTTCATTGCATATCAGAATCTTCAATCCACTATGATTAGTTACTCTTGAAACTGCAACATAGAGATGTCCATGACTAAACACAGGTTTCCGTAACAGTAGTCCAACATGTTTCAGAGATTGTCCCTGGCTCTTGTTAATCGTCATTGCGTACGAAGTAACCACAGGAAATTGTCTTCTTTGAAACTTGAAAGGAATTCTTGTATCGGACGGTGTTAATGATAGTATTGGAATAATAACTTCTTCACCCATGTGGCCTCCTGATAATATTTTTCCTTGTATTGAGTGATTAGCCAACCGGGTTACTATCAACTGTGTACCATTACACAAACCCATTGTGGTCAATATTTCTCAACAACATAATAGGCGTGCCTAAATGATTTGAAAAAAAAACAATTAGAGTAAAATGTTGTAACAGACACTTGCTCTAAATGATTTGAAAAAAAAATACAATTAGAATTAAATCATTGGGTACATGTCTTTCAAAATTAATTTGAATTAATTTATGAATATATACCATTGTGGTATATATTGGAACACCAAAATTGGAAAGGGCGATTCCGATGCACTCAATCCACCAATGAAAACATTGACGTGATTTCCTCATAACGTACAATTCAACCGAACGCCACTATAAAAAAGTTATAATTATTTTTAAATATAATATGTGTCACAATTTTTTAGTAATTAGCTAACCACGAAATAACGTATCATGCAAATGAATTATTTAGTAATTTTTTCAAAGTATAAATTTTTTTTAATTAAAATGAATTTGGTTATTAAAAAGTCACTTACTTGTGGTTCTCCAATGTAACTTCCATCATTTGCTCCGGGGCATTTTTAACCATACGGGTTTCGGGCATAGTTCGACTAACTACTTTCCCGATTATATCTGAAAATCCATAAAAATACAATTTTAAAAATTTCATAATCATAATACATAAAATGTATTTCATATGTGTAAGTATTTAAGTTATGTAAATGTAAATGACCCTTACCAACTAAAAAGACTTGGTCAGCAAACTTTGTTTTGAGAACATCTTCAAAACTCTTAAAGTAGAATCGAAAATTAGGAAATCCATTGTCTGTTAGTTTTTGAATCTTGGTCTTTCCCAAAAATTGGAGCATGCAAGGGTGATTAGTAGTCTTTGTGCCTTGGAAATTGTGTAAAACCTTGACCCTCATGATTAAGTAAACCGCATTTTCTTGCAAATCTTGTTTGAATGTGCTTATATCAGTATCTTTGATCTGAGCATGGATCCGAGCGCCCTAACAACAAATATAAAACGTTAATCTATAATTAAATTTATATTTTTTGTTTAAAAATCTATTATTTGTAAAATATAAAACAATGTAGAACTAACCTCTGAGTCGTGGAAAACAACATCCAACGATTCCGGTCCTCGAGAATGAGCAGCAACGTGGTAAACTCTAATTACTCTTAGCTTCATCATCAACAACCCGGATTTTTCATGAACATTTTTTAGGGCGGTAATCATCACTCTCATCTCCGGCCAAAAACAGAGGTGAAGCGATTAATTAAAACTCTCTAAAACTCTCGTTTCCTGAACACTCGTTTAATTTACTGGCACGGTAAGGTAGCGTATTTATACTATCCAAAATTTTCACGAAAAATTAAAGTTTTTTATGGTAATGGTAATTATAATTACATACAATTTGGTATATTTTCAATGATTTACTCTTATTTTAGTCATTTTCCTTTTAATGTTTAATTACTTTCCGTCTTTCCGTTCATGGACTAATTTACCTTTGTATAATTGTATTACAACGTACTTCAATGCTCACATTATTTTTGGATAGTTATTGGTTTTATATTTTGTACTTTGACTTCAATATGACTTCAATAAATCACGTTAAATTTATTTAAGAATCAAAAGGTTTCCTTTTTTTAATATTATTTTTATGGTTCTTAATGTTTTAAAGGTATTTCCTTTTTTAAAGGTAGACACCAATCACTTCCCTTAATAAAAACCCTTTATTTAATGCACACGAATTCTAAAAAAAATATGTAACAAATCTCGCAATTAAATTTCTTTCCATTACAAATATTTCCATAAATATTGTTAGACAAATTACTAATCGTTATTGTTAGACAAATTGCATAAAAATTTTCATCACTAATCGTTTCCCTTATTTAAAACCCTTTATTTAGTGCACACATATTCCAAATGGTAACATATAATTCTTTCTCCGGAATTTTAAGCAAATACAACTAAAGTTTATTATGGTAATTACATCTTTAAATACCTTTTCTGTTATATGTTCTCATTTTCTTTAGTTACCTTTTATTATTACCATTCGTATAAATGGTTTTATTTCTTACGTTTTTAAATACAAAAATGTATACAAAAATATAGGAGCTAAATTAAGTAAAATTTCCATTCGTACCTTTTTTATACACGTTTATATTAAATAAAGTTTTTTATGGTAATTACACGGTTTTATTAAATTAACATTCGTTACGATTTTAATTACACGGTTATATTAAATTACCATTTTTAGTTGAGATTACCATACACGGTTACGATTTTAATTACACAGTTACATTAAATACCATTTAGTAATTACCATATGTAGTTAAGAATTACCATATTTTATACACCATAAAATGAGCGGGAAAAGGCCAATGCAAATTCATGGCTTTTTAAATAATAGATAGATAAACGAACATACTCAAAAAAGATGAAAGGGCTTTAACCATTTGTAGTTATTCTATTTGCAAACATGAAAAAAGGGCACCATTTGGAATCCTAATTTATAGTACTCCCTCCGTTCTCAAAAATACTTCCTCTTTCATTTTTTCCACTTCCAACAAAACACTTCTCCTTTCTATTAAAAAACCACTTTTACCCTACTTTTTCCTACCCTACCTATCACATTATATTTTTTCTCTAATAATCTATTCATCACATCTTACTTTTACCCATCATATCAGGGGCAAATCAAATGGGAAGGGTTTTTCCAAACGGAGGGAGTATTATTTTTTCTGAACAAGTTTACATTGGAAACTTATTCAAATCATATACTCCCTCCGTCCCAAAAAGATTTACACGTTTCAAAAAAATTGTGTCCCACAATCCCTTACCCATTTCTATTAAAAAACCAGTTTTACCCCTTACTTTTTCAAACCCTACCTATCACATCATACCTTTTTTCTAATAATCTAAACATCACATCCTACTTTTACCAATCACATCAAGGGTATTTTTGGAAAGTCAACACAAAGTTATCCATCCCTTAATTTCAACTTTAGTCAAAATAGGTAACACTTTATGGGACGGAGGGAGTATCATCTGAACAAGAAGAAGCAAGAAGATTGGATACCTGGGCAAAGAGGGGAAAATTGAAGGTATGAGGCTAAAAACTTAAAAAAAAATAGCATACACCATATAGAAAATCAAACCACTGCAAGCCAAATACAAATCCTAGTTTTTTTTTTTTTAAATTTATTTAGAGAATTCAAATTATGAAATTTATAAAAACACAACAGAAACTCCAGTTGGTAGATAGGGAGACGAAAAAAACGAAGAAGAAGTAGGTCATAATTAAGAACCGGACCTGGTAAGAAAGCAAATGACGATTTCATTTCAAGATCGGAAGGGCGATCATATCCAAGTAGGCCACCTCCAAAGTGCGGTAGGGGAAAAAGGACTACACTAATAGAGCAAAAACGCTATAGGCACTTATAATATAAGGGATAAGACTTGTTAAGTTAATGATTATTTCTGTTAACTATGAATAAAAAAAAACATATATGGAGTGTAAGTTTATCATTAAGAAGTAAAAACCAACACCACCCGATAGACAAAAATCAATCGGTACCATCGCTACATGAATTCTACAGAGAGCCCTAGAATATAGTACATGTTCAGTAGTAATAGGAAGACTCCTAATATTATTTAGTTTCCTTATTCTTGTATTACCATAATTACTTTATTCCTTTCCTACTAGGAATATGACTCTCTCTTGTAATCCCTATATATAGGAACATATCTCTCAATATTCAATAAGACAAATTATTATCAAATTGTATCATGGTATCGGAGCTTAGGTTTAAACCCTAGCCCTTTTTTCGAGACTGTGCCTTCACCGCCGGTCTCCTTCCTCTCGCCGGTCGACCATAAACGGCAACCATGGCTCAATCTTCAGATCCGCTTGCTTCGCTTCCTTCTGGCGTCAAGCTTCTTCTCCGCAATCTCCATAATCTTATCCCAGAGAAACTCACTGATTCAAATTATCCTGCATGGTCTCTCAATGTCAAAACTGCTCTCGCGGCCAACCTTCTTCTTGGTTGGATCGATGGTCATGAAGCTGCGCCTCCAAAAATCCTATCCAAGGATGGCAAGGAAAACCCTAACCCAGAATTCCAAACATGGATTGTGATTGATACTCAGATCCGTGCATGCCTTCTTGTCGTCATCAGTCCGTCTGTTCACAAGCATGTCCGCAACTTCACCACATCTGTCGATCTATGGAACGCTCTCGCTGCCCGGTATAATTCTGTTTCTACCGCTCACATCTATCAACTACGGGACAAACTTCACACACTCCGAAAAGGTACAAAAACTATCACCCAGTACCTTGATGAAGTTGCCACTATCCTCACCAATTTGGATGCTCTCAACGAGGTTATTCCTGAGAGAGATGTGGTGAGTGCTGTTATCCGAGGCCTCCCTCATGAATATTACTCCTTCAAGCAAAATATACGGATGAACAATGAGAATATAAGTCTCAATCAACTCTCTGGGTGGCTAACCTCTGAAGAAATAAATCTTGAAATCGAGCAAAAATTGAGTATTGCAGATTCCGCCTCCAGAGTTTCTCACTCTGCACTGTATACAAACAGCGGTCGAGGCCGCGGTCGAGGAGGATCAAACGGTCGACCGTTTTCTGGGCGAGGATCTGGATCCGGTCGCAGCGGTCGAAGCTACGGAAGGGGGGGAGGCCGCGGACCTTCACGCGATCTTCCAGTATGTAAGATCTGTTCAAAGCGTGGCCACTCTGCTGCTACCTGCTGGTACCGCTATGATGATTCTTCTACTGAGAGCAACTCGGCTACCAATTCTCGTGCTATGCATGCAACCACAAGCAACCAAACTGGTGATTGGTACCTTGATACAGGTGCTAATACTCATGTTACGCATGATCTTTCACAGCTGCAAACTCCGACTCCCTACCATGGCACTGAAACTATTACTGTAGGTAATGGTCATACTTTACCCATCACTCACACAGGTTCAGGCTCAATTCACACCCCGAATGGTAAATTTCACCTCCACTCCCTTAATCATGTTCCCTCCCTTACTTCAAACTTACTGTCCGTTCACCGCTTTACCAAAGATAATAATTGCACTCTTGTTTTTAATGCC